GTAATGATAATAATTATAATAATAATAATAATAATAATAATATTTAATGTATTTTATATAAATATCATTCCTGTTATGATTATATTTATATTCCTATATATATAACTATTCACAAAGAATTTATTGCAAAAATAAAATTAGCACATTTTATTCAACTAATTGTAAAAAGAGGCTATTATATTTTTCATTAATTAATAAAATTATATATTTTACAATTACATAATAACTAATAATAACTAAAGGATATAAGAAAGTTATACATAGGATATAAGAAAGTTTATACATATAAAAAAAATATTTATATTTTTAAATATTAGAGTCAGTCAAAAAAATAAATTAAAATCAATTAATTATTCTTTAAAACTGAGCAATCACTTGGCAATTAAATTATACAATCAATGACCATTTTTTAAAACTTTGTAAATAGCTGAAAAAATAAGAACCAACATCACATTCAGCAAAAAATACTACTCAATAGGAAAAAAAAAAAAATTCAGCCAAGTTCTCATTTCAAATGGCTTTTATGTTTGATAATATTGAGGTTGATTCGTCATTATTCAACAAGATCTTTGATAAAATGAAAATAAAAAGAAAAAACATCAAAATGGCAGATTGGAGTACGTATTTCACGATGTCAAGGTATAAAAATTTTTCAGTCTTTTTTAACACATACTATTTCAATATCAATTTTTTATAATATTATTTTTTTTATCGTGTAGGGTCAGTGAATTCACGCTTCAGGCCCGGTTGCTTCGTTAAAAAATTTTAAGAAGTTTAAAATCAATAAGGGTCGTATTTATGCCACAGAAAATTTTAAGGTGTTTCCCGATCAGAATTATTTGTCATAGAAAATTTATACACAAAAATGATCCGAAAACTTTATCAACGAAATAATACAAAAAACATACAAATATTTTAAACCTTTAAACAAACAATTCACATCTAGATCAATAGCTTCCCCGTTGATAAATTAAAAGCATGACTACGATAGCTAAACAAAATAGGAATCGATCCGAGTGTTTATGTCAGATGAGAGAAAAAAAAATTAAAAGTGAACAAGAAACGACGAAAATGTTGCACGTGGTAGGGTTTCATGCATCAAATACCTGCCTCTACCACCTTCTTAAATATTCTATATATGTGTGGTGGATGAAACTTTGGTCGTGCTATATGGGTCCGAACATCCTTCATCAGTGCATCAAACTTCGCCTTAAAGACACGACAAATTATATCTAGACGGTCCTCAGGGTTGAGGTTCCTTTCAGAAAGGAATCAACTTTTCAGGCCAATTGGGGTTGCAAGTGATAGTTATGAAGATATCAACATAACCGGTACAACGACAAATGGTAATCGCATCCAACAACAAAGGGTGCACTTCAATTGGCAGCCAATAAAATTCTTATCCATCATTTATATTTTCTTTGATTAGTGCACAATTCGATTGATATGTTTTCGTTCTCCGAATTTGAGATCAACATATACTCAATTAGTTATTACTAAGCTCAACAGCCATGTATTCGAATGCAAAATATGAACTGGTGCCAGAGCTGGTGATAAGGTTCTTATTCGTAGGCTCAAAATCATACCATCCGATTTGAGGGTACCTTTCAAGTTTCAGCGCAGGCAATTTCTGCTCATGGTTTCCTATGCTATGACAATTAATAAGAGTCAAGGACAATTCTGTCGCACATCAGCTTACTACTGAAGAGCCCTGTATTTAGCCATGAACAATTGTACGTCGCGCTTTCTGGAGTTAAGAGCCGAAGGGGTTTGAAAATAATGATTTGTGGTGATGAGAATGTTGCACATAGCGAAGTGTTTAATAATATTTAATTTTTTTTAAAAACGTTTTTTTCGATGATTATGTTATGATTTTTACTATTGTTTATACTTTTTTATTATTTTATTTTTTATTATATAGCTTTCTGTGCAAATGCACAGGTTACAACTAGTGATGATTAATTAGCAGAGACATTCTCAATCATTCAATATTTTAATTGCATATAATAACTACATTATTTGTCCAATCTCTATATCACAATTTAAATAATAATGAGCTTATCTACTACTTTCATCTCCAAAGTCACCAATACGAACAAAATTGAAATAGAAAAAAATAGATCCATTAATTAATTATATAATTAATTATATAATCCCAATAAAAAAATATTTTATTTTAGAAAAGCGAGGAGATGCATGAACAGAATCATTCATTCATATCCACCCGCACTGGGGCGCGTCCATAGTCAAACCACCAAAAAGTGACACGTCACGTCACAAGTGGGTCCCGCCTCTTAATATCTCTCATGCCCGAGTTGCCCTTTTTTCTTTTTCCCCACTTACACTCCTTCAACCCCCCACCTCCACCCCACCCCACCCCACCCCATTCTCATATGTGGTTTTATTTCCATATTTGCCCCCGTTGGAAATGGAAATTTGATTCCCTTACAATTGAGACTATTGAGTTGTGCTTAAAAATATTAAACCAACGTGAGTAGGCCAATAAATGAGTCGACCCGAGCTCGAGTTTTTAGGTGCTATAGCTCGAGCTCTTAATGATACAAGTAGAGCTCGATTTGTTAATTAAACGAGTATGAAATCGAGTTTGAGCTCAACTTGTTCATCACTTATAACAAGTCGATTTCGGGCTAATGTTATTTTTTGAACCTTAACGAGCTTTATCGAGTTGAGCTTGACTTGTTAACCAAACAAACTTTAACTAAGGGCGAGCTCAAGTTGAGCTGAGCCAGACTCGTTTAAATTAACAATACTATTTGTGAGCTCGGACTGTTTCAAGGGGCTCGAATGTGGCTCTACTTATGACTTTTATATAAGTTTTTTAAAATTTTAAAATCGCAACTTAACTAATTAATGTTTAAGTTCGAATCATTAATATTGATAAGCGAGCCAAATTTGAGTTTATTTATCTACTTGGCTCGATAATGGCTTGACAGGAGTTCAAACTCAACCCGTCTAGTTGACGCCCCTGTGTAAATTTTTTAATCACAATTTAACTTTTATTTTTTATAACTCCAATTTAACTCGTTAAGGATTGAGTTCGACTCTTAATAATTAATATTGATAAGCGAGATAAAATTTTGTTCATTTATCTACTTGACTCGATAAAAGGCTTGACATGAGTTCTAGCTCAACTTGACTCGTGGTCGTGGACACCCCTATTTAACTTTACAATTCAAATTACAATATTTATATAACTGAAACTTTACCTATTTATAATAATGTCTTTTTTTCCCATTGTATCATAACCTTGTGATAAAAATACTTTAATATAATGAGATGATACAACGATGATAAAAATGAGGAAAACATATAACAAGTTTTACTTTGACGATAATGTGATATATAAAATAATAAAAAAGTAATTTATATTTATCACATTAAAGTTTATTTTGTTTTCTATATTATCTCTACATATATTATTGTTGACAAGTTTCAATAATTTTTTTTTTTTTTTTTTTTTT